ATCATTATGTGTATATGAAGAAATTTTCACGATATTATTTATAGTAGTGAAGACCAGAAACAATGTGAATCAATAAGAGAATAATTAAATTCATTATGACATATTCATCTGGTGGGAATTATGGAGCTATTATAAATCTTAGAAGTGCTGACATGGAAAGATATGGTTGATAGACAGATGACAAGCTACAGTTTTGTGAAAATAAAAAGAAAAGCAACCAAGAAAGGAAGGAAAGAACAACGAAAGGTGACACATTCAATGACACAAATGCCATTAAAAACATAAAAATAACAAAAAGCTAAAAATAGGGTTGTTTTTTTTTCCTGGATAACTTATAGAGAATCTGAAATTATTTTCCCCACACTTTCTATATAATCCAGATTTTTGTACTTAGTTATTCTCTTATAAAAACAAGATCACTAAATGCCTTTCCAAAATGGAAATACATCATGAGGTTTCATGGAGAATTAAAGAGAAAAAGTGAAAATAGTGGACTAATTTACCTTGAAGAAGAGAAGATTGACAGTACAATGCATGGCCAATTTAAAGTCCCTAACCAGGCATTTGATAAAAACTTCAATACCCAAGGGCTGAATCCAGAGGAAATTAACTTCAATTTTTAAAGTCTGTAGTTGGTTTTTTTCGTTTGTTTTGTTTTGTTTTTTTTAAAACACAACAACAATTTTGTGAACAGCACTGGGATTAGAAAGTGGTAAACTATGTATCACGGGTACAAAACTTAAAGAAACACCAAAAAACAAAACAAACAAAAACCTCAGCAATCCAAATGAATAGCATTTTAAGGTTTTAAGGCAGTATTTAAAAACCAAAAATTAATGCAAAAATGTATGATTCACTAAATGTCATAAGACAGGATCAATGCTATTACCACCCAAGAGAGGAATGAAGGCAGATTTGGGGATGTTCTCACTAAAGGTTTTGAAGAAGAGATAAATCTAAAATTGTTTCTAAATATCAAGGAAAGTATAAAGCCAAATATGTGGTTAGCTTTCCGCTGGAGATGCGGGGACAGGATAGCACTTAACCATTCCTGTGGAACTGGGATTGTTGATGTATTATGCAATAAGGTGGAACAAACGTTTATGAACTGGAAAGTCAGTCTTACCCATACTAGAACAATGAAGAGATATAACAGGTTATAGAAGAAAAAAAAATCAAATTGAGCCTGTGCTTTCCTGCACTTCACCGCTTCTCTCACCGTTCCTCAGGAACAGAGCTCAAGAGGAAGAGACCCTCTGAGGGATGGAAAGACCATGGTAGCCAAACAGGATGTGCTGGCTTCCTTCTGAGCAACCCGAGTCAACTGAGGAAAGCAACATTGTACTCCAAGGTCTGTTCCCTTAGATTCCGGTTATTGGGCCCAAACTATTTCTCTACCTTTGAAAGAATTCAACCATTTTTCCTCCTAGAGAGATCTTTTTTTTTTTTTTGTTTTTGCTGGATCTCACAACCAATTCTGAGCAACAGGTTAATCTGATTCATTTCGTTGAGTCTTTCCAATTGGAAGCAAGCTGAAAAAACTCATGGGCTCTACTGGCTACTTATGAGTCCATCAAATACAACTGAATCATAGGGCCCCAGAGCGGGGAGGCAACTTAAAAGGCACAGGACCCCCC